TATATATATACTTCACCACTGATACTCCAGAGAGATGATCTTATTTTCTCAATGGATGCGGATTAGGCGGTGGCATCTTCTAACGTCGCTGGCAAATATACTAAAAATCTTTCTTGAGTGCAGCAGGAGAGATTGCGTAAGGCATCGCTCGAATCTCCAATTGGTGAATCTAATCATAAGAAATGTCCATCGGTTTTTAATTAACACAACACACATCAGTGACAATCAAGTAAAGTTATTAATTATTACTTTTCTAAAAAAACTTTCAAGATAAGATGGTATACTCAAATTGTTGTATGAAGTAAAATTTGTATGAAGTAAAAATGAAAGAATAGTTATTATTCATTGGACACGATAAGAACAAACATATAATAAAAACAGTATAAATCTTGTTATATGTTTACAACAAATAATAATCATTATAATGAGAGACGCTTACATCTCTAATTCAAGGTAATAATTAAAAATAATGATAACTTTTAAGATTGACAAGAAATAATTAAACAAAAACAAGTTTATAAAAACAAAAACAAAAACAAGTTTATAAATTGCTCAAAGAAAATATGCATGTACATATTCAATATCGAACTGTGAATTTAAAATATTATTCTATCTTTCAATAAAAAGCAGTTTTAGAAATCAATCGCTTTCACAGATTACATTTACAATCCAAAATTTTAAATTATTCCAGGTAAATTTATGATCAGAATTTATACTATGTTCGGTGATTACTGAATGCGTTTTAGTATTTCTGCGAATATGATACTGATTTTGTTCATTCAGCATTTTTAATTGTCTCATAGTCTGTCCCATATCGTATGCATCGCAATTATTACAGCAGATCTATATATTTCTTTTAAAATGTGCTAGAAAAACGTTCTTATTAACTCTGATCAAATGTCTCAACTTATTTATACTAAAAAACGCAAGTTTAGCGTCAAAATCATCAATAATTTTTTTGAATTTGATAGAAGTTTTCGAAATAAAAAGTAATATAAACCATTTTTTCGCGAAGAGTCCGAGAAAATATTTTATTAAATTATTAATTATTAAAGTTTACACTGGTTTACACATGCTAGGTTCGAGGATAATAAGAGGGGTTTCTAGTAGATTTTTCAGCATTCATTACGAACTTGGCCGTAAAAATTGTCTAATTCATCAGAATTTTGAAAAAATCGCAGTTAAATATGCGAAAAATGCCATTTTTTTATGTTTTTGCATCAGTCAGTTTTAACAAAGACATGATACAGGGTGCTGCGAGCGTGCAAAAGGAAGTTTTTAATTTGCAGTTGATGAAGTATGAAACAGTTTGAACCAATAACGAAGAAACTGCGTTCAAAGGTGGAAATTTTTATTTTTCAGAAATTTCTCTGCTCACTTACAAAGCATGGAATCATAGGGGGGTTTTCATTCTTTTTAAAAAAATTTTTGTACATCTAATACGAAACTACATTCAAGGATTTTTGAGGTCACAAGATATTAATTTTTGAAGAATATTATTTACAAAATGATGAATGTCGATATATTACATGTTTGAACAGATCATAATTTTGTATTTTAATGTTTTTGGGATTACTGAAAAATAAAATTATGATCAGGGGGCTTATCAAATCTATAACTAAGAAGTTGAGCTTAGAATATCAAATTCCATTACGGTAAATCCAAAATGACTGACTGAAATATTTCTATGTTACACGTTCTAATAGATCATGCGTAACTTTGTATACGTTCTTGAATTTCGAAAAAAAACTCCAGAACACATAAAACTAGAAGATAATAAAGCCGTGCTTATTATTTGTCTATATGTTTTTAAAATGTCTTTCTCGACGATTTCTTTTTGTAATTGCTTTTTTTAACAAGAATTCAGCAGTAATCACCTAGCATGTTTGGGTTTTATTTCCCTTAATATATTTTTTCCATGACAGTGATATCTTGATGGAATCGCTTTCCATCAAATTCGTCACTTACATCACCCAAATTCGACGGGAGAAGATCCAAATGTGAAGGAAATATATCTTCAAAGACATGTTGCAACCCATGGCTTAATATGTTGACAACATGTTTGATACATACTTTTCTTCCTCGCTTTTTCTCAAGCAAATTCTCTTCACTTTTTGGAATGCAGTT